TCGAACCTTGTGTCACTCTTGAGGATGTAAGAGATCTGACAAATAGGAATCGATTGAGAATAAGGATTCTTGACGGAGATCTTTGCATGATAATCAACTCCTTCACGTGTAACTCCTTTGAAATCGACGTCGTCCACGGTGGCTTCCGGTGTCGGAATATTCGTTAGCTTCTCCGCGAAATAGCCTTTTGCTTTACCCAACAGGCTTGAAATCATCGACGCTTTTTCTTCTACCACCTTCTCATCCGATGAAGCCATTTTTGCTCTCTCTTTTTAAAAAATTTCTGATTAATTTCTTCCAAATGATATGATCAGATCTCTCTCTTTCACCTCTTTAAGGATAAGTAATACCTTAAATGCCGGAGCGTGACATTATTTCTATGGTTTATTTGTGAAAAGTAACAAATTATTTGTTTTTTTTAATTGTTAAAATGGAATAAAATACAAACACCATTATGCATATTCTAAAGGAAAGATCCGTTTGTGTACGTATTGGAGCATCAAGGTCATAACGTGCGTTCTCACTCCTTTGCTTGTCCGAATTCCAAAAAGAAAAAATATATTTTATTTATAAACGATTAGTATTCTAACAAATAAATTAGCAATTGTTTTTTTGGTTATACTATTAGTTTCGAATTATAAATACTTAGCCTTTAAAATCTGTAATAACTACGTGTATTGACTGTTTTGGGCAAGTAATACTAAGGACATGGAAATATAAGATTTTCTCTTTTCACAATTAGTCAAACCATACATTGTTATATTATTATTTTTTCTTGTTACATACTTTTCCTAATTAAAAAACACGGTTTGAGAAATATTAGAAGTATACAGATCCTTTACTTTTCTTTTGATTGCATTTGCTTAAATTGACTGACATATTTATGGGAAAAAAGTTAACCTGTATTTGATGCTTCTATATTTATCGTTTTACTTGTGGCTTCAAGACTTTATTTTTGCATTTTTTTATTTGAGGATTGTGAAATCTGTACCAGAAACCGGTTTACTCTAATAACATACAAAAAAATTCTCCGTTGCCGGGACTCGAACCCGGGTCTCTCGGGTGAGAGCCGAGTATCCTAACCAGCTAGACTACAACGGATTTTGGTTACTAAGTGATAATACAGTTTATAAACCTAAATTAAACGTTCAAGAGAACGCTTGATCTGTGTGTTACTCGTCAGATTCTAAAACAGACTCTTATGGGTTTCTCCAAAAATTGAATCTTTTCAAGTAATTTTCGACTAAATTCTCTGTTCTACATACAGAGAGTGTTTATTCATTGATACAAGTACAACAATGGCTTCTTCACTCACCAGGAATTGCTCTCGTTTCTCTAAAGCCATCTCCGTCCGTTTCATGAGTAACCTACCGGAAAACACCGTATACGGAGGACCAAAGCCGCAGAACCCAAATCAGAGAGTGACGTTAACGCATCTCAGACAAAAACATCGGAAAGGAGAGCCGATCACTGTCGTAACTGCTTACGATTACCCATCCGCTGTTCATTTGGACACAGCTGGAATCGATGTTTGTCTTGTTGGTGATTCAGCTTCCATGGTTGTTCATGGTCACGACACAACCCTTCCTATCTCCTTAGATGAGATGCTTGTTCATTGTCGTGCCGTTGCTCGTGGCGCAAAAAGGCCTCTGCTTGTTGGTGATTTGCCATTTGGTACCTACGAGTCGAGCATTAGTCAGGTAATGATAAACAAATTGAATCTTTTTGTCTTATGAAAACCTAATTTTAACCACATTTTTGGTAATCTACTTAGTACTTGTTTAGGTAATTAGATTCTTGATTTAAAAATACAATCTTTTGGTCCTTTCAGACCTGAATTAATCACAATCAGTGGGATTTACAATGTTCAATTGTTATTGGATTCTTGATGGAACAGTCTCAAATGATACATTTTTGTGTCATTGGCTATTTATGTTTCTCAATTTTGGGTGTGGAGAGGAGAAGCATTCATAATGGATATTGAGGTTCTTAAGTTTTGAGTTATGAGTCTACTTCAGGCGGTTGATACTGCGGTTAGAGTTTTAAAGGAAGGAGGAATCGATGCGATTAAGCTCGAAGGAGGATCAGCTTCTAGGATCACTGCTGCAAAAGCCATTGTTGAAGCAGGAATTGCGGTTATCGGCCATGTGGGTCTAACTCCTCAGGCAATAAGCGTTCTTGGTGGTTTCAGACCACAAGGCAGAAACATAGCTAGTGCTGTTAAGGTTGTTGAGACCGCCATGGCTTTACAAGAAGCTGGATGTTTTTCAGTTGTTTTGGAATGCGTTCCGCCTCCTGTAGCTGCTGCTACTACCTCTGCACTCAATATTCCAACCATTGGCATTGGAGCTGGACCTTTCTGCAGTGGACAGGTTTTGTTTGAAAAGTTTCTTCTTTTTTGAGTTTCGGTTTTTTTGTGTGGTTAATTGTTTTATTGAAAATGCAGGTGTTAGTTTACCATGATCTTCTCGGTATGATGCAACATCCACATCATGCTAAGGTTAAATCCTCACCCAATTATGTATCATCATCAACTCTTCATTATTTTCGAAATGCAATTGTTTTGTTGGTTCGTTGTTTTTCATCGTTCTTCGGGTTTCATTCTCTTTAATATCACAGGTCACTCCAAAGTTTTGCAAGCAGTATGCTAAAGTAGGAGAAGTGATCAACAAAGCCTTACTGGATTACAAAGAAGAAGTCTCTAAAAACTTGTTTCCAGGTCCTTCTCATAGTCCTTACAAGATCACGACAAGCGAGCTCGACGGGTTTTTAACCGAGTTGCAGAAGCTTGGCTTCGACAAGGCCGCTTCAGCCGCAGCTTCAGCAGCTGAGAAGATGGAGCCTTCAGATTCACCATCTCCTCACTGACAACAACAACAAGCTATGTAGTAAATTTCATCAAACAATAAAAAATCTTTTAACAAATGTAATTGGGCTTATTATTCTCAAAGGCCCATTAGTTTTGAAGCCCATAATAAAGAAGAAAAGGTATTTACAGAGA